GCTTTATATTAGAGCCGAATTAGAAGAGGTTAGAGTGTTTTGGGCAGGAGGTTTTCTCGATGAATTAGTGTAAGTTTTGTGTTGTATTGTATAGTATTAGTTGTATGTTACAAGAGTGTAGTTGTTTGACTCTTAGTTGTGGTGTTAAAACTTAGTTTGTAAATATTGATAGTTGTTTAAATGTACAAATAGTGGTGGATGCAAATGTTTACTTTTTGTTTAATTTGTTTTGTGGCATTTGAGTTTTGTGAATGTATTTGTGTTCGTTGTTGATATATGTTAGTTGTTGAATATGTATATTTTGCAGAGTATTCTGTGCAAAATTAAAAATGTAATAAATTGGAACAAAAAAAACCTTTTGAAAAAAAAAATCTTTTTGCATTGGTTATTACCAAATAAGGGATGCAAAAGCCCTTCACAGAAATGGCGCCAATTCTAGGAATAGGCTTTTGAATCGGTTATTTGGAAATAACCGATTCAAAAACTTCTTCAGGGCTTTTGAATCGGTTATTTGGAAATAACCGATGCAAAAGCCTAAGCATTTGAATCTGTTATTTCCAAATAACCGATTCAAAAGCCTCTTCCCAGAATTGGCGCAATTTCTGGTAAGGGCTTTTGCATCGGTTTTAACAACCGATGCAAAAAGTAACCTCAGCATTTGCATCGCTGGCTTTTGCATCGGTTCAAAACCGATTTAAAAGGGTCAAAATAACCGATTTAAAAAGTCTTTTTTGTAGTAGTGATAGTCGAGTGTCGTAACTACCATGTGAAACTGTCGCACTATCATTTATCGCTAGCTTGTCTCCGGCCACCAGTTGCCGGCCGGAACACCATCATCCGTCATTGAGAGCTCACCGTAGCGTCTCGTCAACAGAGACCATTGTTACCAATAGTTGATCAACAGATGACTCGTTGTCGACTAGCGGATGACTGCCAGTCAACTTTATTATTACTCTCTATTATTTTTACTTTTCTATTTGTACGTCACCATACTCATAGTCTCATATATAACATTGTCATCACATTCATACTTATAAAATTAAACTATGTCCAACACAATTTTTTTCTAAAAATAGATAGGCAAAAAATGAGGGGATAATTAGCTTAGCTAGGTAGTAGATTATACATATATATTGTTTTAAGCAAAGCAATTCAGGATCCATGCATATCCATACATCTTACACCGTTGGTAGCCGGCAATACAAATTTGACCGACTACCATAGCCAGCTAATTCCAGCAGAATACTTGAACTACAAAAGGCTTAGTGAGGTATGGCGATAGGAAGTACATCTAAATATAGAAAAAAATATACTTTTGAAAAAATAGATGGCGTTTGTCTTAGAAAAAAATATACTTTTGAAAAAATATATGGCGTTTGTCTTGATCCAAAGATTAATTAAGAAAAATGAAATCATATGGTCGAACGTATTGCAAAGGAATAGAAAATAATACTACCTTGGTCTCAGAGTATTCGTCCAATTTGATTTTTTCAAGTCAAACTAAACTAATTTTGAGTCTTAATTAAGTAAAAACTACGGAGTATAATGTATATTAGTATAAAAATAATTTTTATATATTTAACTTGTTTAGAACTTTCAAAAAAAGTATTCTATTGTATTAATTCGTAATATTATACAATTTGAGAGTAATTGATGATTAAAATTTATCTAGCTTGGTTTGAAAAAGTCAAACAAGACGAATACTCTGAGACGGAAGAAGTAGTGGTTGCAAAAACTTTTTCAAATATGAAAAATGTTTTTCACAAATATAAAATATATATTTTACGACTTCTGTACTTATGGGTAGAATCAAACAAAATTTTGGGAAGGGTACTTTGAAAAAGTCAATAAAGTTAGATGATTCCGTACTTGCAATTCGCGTGCGTGCACAGGGAGGAACATTTCAAGACCAATGGTGCAACATTTTAAATTATTTAGAGAATGCTGGTATACTTTTTAATGTTCAGAGGTAACCCGTGCAATTTTGAGAGGTTTCGGGGGTAAACGCTGCACTTTTCTCTATTCTGAGCTGAAATGCGAGAAAAAATTGTAATTTCAAAGCCAAAAATCAATAATGAAAAAAGGATCAACATCTTTCTTGAGGGCCCTTCAGAACCAGCAGGACATGAATTTGAGAAGATGTAAATATAGTTATAATGACTTGGCTATATATAGTTATGAATATAACAGTATATAACAATTGTAATAATAATAATAATAATAATAATAATAATAATAATAATAATAATAATAATCACATTGAAATATATCATTTTTAGAGTAATTGGTTGAGGAGTAGAAAGAATTTGAAGAAACTGGAAGGAACTGAAAGAAACTGGAAGGAACTGGAAGAAACTGGAAGAAACTAGAAGGAACTGGAAGAAACTGGAAAAAACTGAAAGAAACTGGAAAGAACTGGAAGAAACTGGAAGTTAAAAGTTCAAGTCCTAAAGAACAAGCCCTTAGTATGAGTTGCTCGCCGAAAATTCATAGTTAAAGCCAGGTAGAGTTGCTCCACATGAGTTCCATATCAATTGTTTTGAGTTAAGTAATCCTTTAAATTAAAGAACTTTTCATTAAAGAGGCTCTATATAAATATGGATTAAACTATTTATACCCTAAGAATTGTATCTCAATGTATACACAGCACGTTTGCACCTTCATTTTGTATCAGTGTGATGCTCGGGTGATAGTTTACACATACACAAAATGCTAGTATAAATTTTTGTTAACGCTTCATCATTTTTTGTCTGTGTAAATCATCAAAATGTTAGTGTATATTTTGGTCTAATTTTGGAGTACACTTTTTGGTGTAAGTGTAGCACGATTGATATAAATAAAGTAAAACTTTTTATATTCCTATAAAAGACAACATCTTGTGATAGAATTTAGAATGTGTATGGACAACTAGATTGAGTAATAAGACACTTGGATTGAACTACATTAAAAGATTAAATCCAATTTATTAGTTAGTTCAACTAAAGAACTTATATACCGATTATTTTGCTCTTGAACTTCCGATTTAGGATGACACTCTAACACTCCCCCTCAAATGGACAAGTAGGTCATTTTGAATCTAACCGGTTGACCACTTGCAAATAAACTCTCAATCCCTTGAGTTTTTTTAGTGCCAACACCTAAAAGATCACGAGCTGCTGGGTATGGACTTCCAAATGATCAATCATGTTAAACGGGCCACAGACCGTTGGGTACATCTTGGGTCCATCATAATATATACAACTTCCGTCTAAAAATAATCTTTTTTGCTTTGATTTTACACGCAAATTAAAGAAAAGTAAAAAATGAGTAACGATTAATGGGTAAAGGTGAGTGTAGTGATTAGGTTCAAAGAAAAAACATTTTTACCAAATAAAGAAACAGAAAGATAATTTATAGACAGACAAATAAAGAAAGTGGGAAGATAAATTATGGAGAGAGAGAAGGAAGTACTATATACTCCCTCCGTCCTAAAACTTTCTTCCCATAGCACTATTCCAACTTCACGGGAATTTATATTTATTTGTGTTTTTTCATGGCCTATATGATAAAATAAAATATTCTTGTCACCACTTGTTTTGTTAAACTTTTGATGTAGTTTTTAAATATGTATGTTTTATTTTTTATTTCTATACCAATATTTAAATAAAATAGATTGAAAAAACTTGAGATTTTTCTTCGTTTTGCAAACCGGGAAGAAAGTTTTAAGACGGAGAGAGTATATATATAGGCCTAGGATAGGAGAGAAATAGATAGAGCGATAGGTAGGAAACCAAACAAGCTAAGGGCAATTAAGGAAGGAATAAAAATGGGAGGGCAACGCTTGTTTGGTTCGTCGTGGTCGTCGTCGTCTTTACTGCTACTGATATTAGCGGTGGGATGCCTCCACATTGGCCTCGCATCCGGCGGCCGGACGGTGAGAATAACGGCGGCGAACAGTGGAGAAGATGAAACGATAATGAGTAGCCGCAGAAATCTTATCGCAAACGGACTTGGTGCCACTCCTCAAATGGGGTACGTAGTAATAGTCTCTCAATATTATATTATTGAACATCAACTATAATTAAATAAAAATTACTTGTTTATGGTATATTAATTAAGCAAAAAATATTTTATAAAATGAATTTAAAATCAATTTTATTTAATTAGTGGTTAAAATTTGTCAATTTTAATTATAAAAGGTTAAAATAGGACAAATAATTAAGGACTTATTGTAAATTTATATATTCTCTCCGTTCCAAAATATTTGTCATATTTGTTTTTTCTACCCCACGAGAACTTTAATACTCCGTATTAGTCCATATGTCATACTATTTCCTCCGTCCCATTTTGGTTACAAAATACTCCGTAGATATTAGGAGGTAAAATTTCATAGTTTTTTAAATCATTTTATTTATAAATTGACACATCAATAAGAAATAAAAATTACATATTAAAAACTGCATCAAATGTTCTACAAAATATGAGGTGATAAGATTATTTTATTTTATCAAATAATCAATAAAAACATACAAATAAACAAAAATTATTGATGGATAAGATAGAGATAATAAAATTATAATAAAAATGGGGACAGAGAAAATATATAAAATAATAGGTCATGATTATATATATAATTTAACAAATGATTAACGAAAACGAATAAATAACTATATTTGGATTTCGTATGTGTGTTAAATTAGATTCGATGTTTAATTTTGAATTGCGTGCAGATGGAGTAGCTGGAACCACTTCGCGGGCAACATCAATGAAGATTTATTCCGGCAAAGTGGTAATTATAATTATAACTATAATTAGTTGTGTTAAGTGGTCTTAAACTTTTCGCATGTAAAAATATATTAGAACTTTTTTTATAATTTTTTTATGAATTTATAATTAGATCTTTTTTTACAAAGCTCAGTACGCAACATCATTTTATGTACTCCCTTAGTCCTAAAATTAACTTCTTATTTGACTTTTCACGGTCTCCAATGCGGCACTTTGACCATTAATATCTCCATTTTTATATGAATGTATATTATCAAAATAATATATTTCAAAATTATGTTTCAAAATAAATCTATTGATACTAAATTTATATAAAAATTCAATATATTTTTTCCGTAATATATAGTCAAAGTTTAAAAACTTTGACTGCAAAAGTCAAAATAGGAAATTAATTTTAGGACGGAGGGATAATTAATGTACATAAAATAAGTATGGACGACCCAAAGATCACAAGAAAATTTACGCATTATAAAATCTACGGATTATTTTAATTATATGTATTAGATTTTGATATCATAGTCTAGCATAACACTGCCTTCTTTCCTAAAAATTATTTTTCTTTTTTTATACGGCCCAAAAAACTTTTCTCATTTCTTTTACAAAAATCACTTTACCGCTACTAATTTTTAATATGTCTACCACATCACATCTATTCACTATTAATCTATCCATCAAATCTTACTTTTAAGTATCACATCGAAAGACATTTTTAGAAACTCAACACCAAAATACGCTCCCGATCTCTTAAAAATTAAAACCTCTCATGCTTTCAGGAACGGATCAAAGAGAGTATGTTTTACTCTGTACAACGTACACAAACATAAAATTGACATACGTAGTAATATGTTTAACTTTGTACATATATTCACAAGAATACTCCCAGAAATTTCAGATTTTACATAAATACTCCCAAATTTATTTATTTACACCATTACTCTCACATTTCTCTTTTATTTACGTTGTTACTCCCAAATTTGGTAGTGATCATTAGTGTTACTTGGATGTGTCATTTTTGCGTTAAGTGAACAGTTAAAATGCAGACATGTATTTTTTCCACTCTAATGTACCAAATTCACCTCAACTTATTCTATCCATCGTCTTTCTCACGTCTTAGTAAGCCTAATTATTGCCCTTATTTCCTATCACTTTTTTAAAAATTGAAATTTCAAACCTCTTAAATCTTTTTAATGTTTAATATCAAGTGTGTTCATATTAATTTAATTTGATTTCAATAAAAAAAGATGAAGAACCCCGTATAAAAAGAGTCAACCGAGAAACACTGATGATGAAGCAATCGCGGAGTAACGACGTAAATAAAAGAGAAATGTGGGAGTAATGGTGTAAATAAACAAATTTGGGAGTATTTATGTAAAATCTCTAATTTCTGGGAGTGTTCTTGTAAATTTTGCCTATTTTTTCTCTTCGTCCCGCAATAATATTCAACATTTTCTTTTTTGTTTGTTAAAAAATCAATTTCCACATTTATTTTTTTTTGTAATTATTATCATTTCCTTCTCCTCTGTACCACATACAAATATGACAAAAAAGACTTTTTTTTTTAAATATTGAAAGTGACAAAGGAAATATTTAAATGACAATATTTGATCCTATATTTATTATGGGTAATGATTTGGGCTGGTTTATGAATGTGGGCAGCCGATGCAATGGTATCCACCGGACTTGCTGCTCTCGGTTATCAATATGTCAATTTAGGTAATTAACCTTCAAACACATTTATATATTTCTTAATTAAGCTTAGTTTTATTATTTAATTTTCTCTCATAATCAGCTCCTTAATTATTTTCCTTTTTTCTAAAATTTATATTCAGATGACTGTTGGGCCGAACTAAATAGAGACTCTAAGGTAGGTGCACCATAATAATAATAATAATAATAATAATAGTAATAATAATAATAATAATAATAATAATACTAATAATAATAATAATAATAATAATGTCTGCTACTATGACGACAGGGGAATTTAGTTGCGAAGGCTTCGACGTTTCCATCGGGAATGAAAGCGCTCGCAGATTACGTTCATAGTAAAGGATTGAAGCTTGGTATTTATTCCAGTGCTGGGTACGTAATAATCTTATGTATATAAACGTGAAACGTGACAAATATATAGTTTTCGTACCGAAAATATTAAAGAAAGAATAATGAGCTAATAAAAATTAAATGTATGCATTCAGGAACATGACGTGTAGCAATCGTATGCCCGGGTCACTCTGGTACGAGGACCAAGATGCAAAAACTTTTGCATCTTGGGAAATCGATTATTTGAAATATGACAATTGTAACAACCAGAACATCAGTCCTAAAAAGAGGTATAATTTTCGTCATCTCTTTTTCGTCCATCCTAAAACAAATTAAGAGCAAATATATGCGGCTCAATTAAGATAGATTATTTTTCATATTTAATTAATTCTTAATTAATTAAACAATTTTGGATGGGAAATAATTAAATAGGTATCCTAAAATGAGCAAAGCGCTACGAAAGTCGGGAAGGGCCATCTTTTATTCTCTCTGCGAATGGTATGTACATCCATTCATACATTTTTTTTCTCTTCTTTTATTTTTTCATATATATAATAAATAATAAAATATTGAAAGTATTTTACATCGACTAAGTATGAAATAATAAATTGTTTATAAATAATTATGTTACGTTAGGGGTGACCAAGATCCTGCGACTTGGGCACGATCTGTAGGCAACAGTTGGAGGACCACTGGAGATATTCAAGACACATGGGAAAGGTAATTTTAAACTTTTTTTGGTATGTTGAGTTCAAAAGTTATCACTACAAATTCGTGCATGTAAATTATCATAATATCAACAATATTATTTTTGATATAATAATAATAATAATAATAATAATAATAATAATAATAATAATAATAATAATAATAACTTTATTATTATGACTATTATATGCAGCATGACGACTCTGGCCGATCTGAATGATAAATGGGCAGCCTATGCCGGTCCTGGAGGATGGAATGGTTAGTACTCTACCAATTTTTTGGATTGAGTGAGGATTACTGAATTGGGATAAGACACTTAGACTGAACTAAATTAAAAGGTTAAACTGAATAGGGATAAGACACTTAGACACGGATTACGTACTATTTTTGGATAGCTAATGATTGATAATGCTAGTAGCTTTTAGTAGTAATAATGACTTTGTTAATTAAATTATACAGATCCAGACATGTTGGAGGTTGGAAATGGAGGCATGACTACTGAAGAATATCGCTCTCATTTCAGCATTTGGGCTTTAGCCAAAGTAACTTCCCCTATTTTACCCTACATCACAAAGTTGAATTATATGTCATAATGTCCCAAAAAATTTTACTCGAAAAGAAAGTGTTAAAAAAAAAATGTATAATTAAAATTTGTTTAGATCAACGAGATAGAAAACTTTTTGTGAGCAACATATTCATTACATAAAAAAGAGAAATAAAATAATTCTTTTTTTTCATCACAGATACGCACAGACAACGACGATATGCGTGTCATATGTGCGTATATGTGTGGGCAAGAGATATTATAGCATGTTTTTTTTATTTGAAAAAGACTATGGCATGAATTAATTTACCTTTTTCTAGTGTCTTTTTGTAATTCCATCACTCAGCTCAAAGCATATTGTTTTCTTTGTGCAAATATTATTAGGCCCCTTTGGTGATTGGTTGTGACGTTAGGTCAATAGACAACACCACCTTCGACATCCTAAGCAATAAGGAGGTCATTGCTGTGAATCAAGGTATTATTATTATTATTATTATTATTATTATTATTATTATTACTATTATTGTTGTTGTTGTATCATTATTACGATTACTGGTTTACTTTTGAGGTTGTCTAGCTTGTCTCGTAATAAGAGCTGAAGTTTTTATGTGTACAGATCCTCTCGGTGTTCAAGGGAAAAAAGTAAAAAAGGATGGAGATCTGGAGGTAAAGAAATCTAACTCCATATATATAACAAAAAAACTATACATTGTTCGTCGCGTTAAAGTTAAACACAACTAGACAAACAAAAGACGAAACCAGTTGTAGACGCGCGCAACCATTGATTAGCCTTGACAATTAGACCGTGTTGGGCTTGAAAATCCCGGTCTGTGGTCAAGTCCAATCAGCGAGCGTCACGCCAAGTCACTTATCTCCATCTACTTTCTTTCCTTCTTTTTTTAACAAACCATAAAGACAATTGTAATACGTCAAAGAGTGAATGAATGTAGACATACACCATGTCTAGATACAATCATTTTTTGATGTATCAAGAAAGCCATAATGTAAAATTAGAAGTGAGAAAAAACATTGGAGCGGCGAGTCAATGGATGGAAACATTTTGTTTTACAGGTTTGGGCAGGTCCCCTGAGCAAGAAGAGGACAGCAGTGGTTCTATGGAATAGAGGAGGAGGAGAGGCAACCATTACCGCTTACTGGTCGGACTTAGGCCTCAAACCGTCCACCGTTGTCAATGCCCGAGATCTATGGGCTGTAAGTTCTTTCTTTTCAACAATCGGTCATCCGTTGGTTTTATAGTCACATTACAGAGATGACACCAATGAATTTTCACACCCAATGATTGTCTAATTTTGGTGTCATCACTGAGGTTAAAGTAACATTTGCTTTGGTTTCAACAAAAAGAAAACTAGGGAAACTTCATGTTTGACACCATAGTGTCTTACAGACAAATGAATTGCTTGTGTGACACTATGGTGTCTGGTGTTAAAGGTGAGGGGTTCCCCTAGCATGGCTGGGTTATAATTGATTCACGTTCGTTCTTCTTCGTCTTTGACTTTGACAGCATTCAACTCAGAAAAAGGTGAAAGGGAAGATCTCTGCTAGTGTCGCCTCCCATGGCTGCAAGTTTTATGTCCTCACTCCTAACTGAAACCCGCCCAATTTAATGGCACCGCCAGAAGAGGCTAGGGTTCCCACATTGCACCGTTATTTTTTATAAACATTACACGTTGGAAGCAATAACAATAACAATGATAATAATAACAATAATAATAGTTAGAATGCAATAAAGTTTGTTTAGAGTATTATCATATACTCCGTATTTCGTATGTGTACCAAAATCGTCCGATAAATAAAAGTTTGTTTGATTTTGACCCACAACAATAGAGTAAATGGATTTTGTTTCTGTCAGTGTATCTTATTTACCTATCTATCTATCTATCTATCACAGTACTACTTAACTAAATGCCATAGCTAAAAAGATGCTCAAAATGAGAATGAATCTGATGGGATGCGATATGCAAGATCAAAGGAAGGTTAAAGATGGTGGTGACAAAAATGATCATGAAGCGAAGTTGAGAGAATATATAAATATACTCGTTCTGTCTCGTAAAAAAATTCACTCTCATTGTATCCGTTTCAAAAACATTCAATTCCTTTTTAAAGAATTGAATCAGTGCATCACGTCTCTTCTCTCTCCTCTTACCACTTTAACCATAAAGTTTTCACCATTCAACGCTTTTTTTGAACTCCATAAAACTCAAACTAGGAAGATTTTTATGAGACAGGTGTGAGTGAGTGTGTGTACACACACACACACATAAAGAATATATAATAAAGAATAAATAAAACAGGTGTTGAAATTTTTGGACTATCATTAATTTCTGATAATGGTTATCAACCAATGATATGACAGTATGAGTTGAAGATAAGTAGAAGAAAACTTACTACAACACAAGTTGGTGTTTGTTGCATTCATTGTTGTTGTTGTTGTTGCCCTCTCATTTTCTCTACAATGTGCCTTCCCTTCACTTCAATATGGCGTCTCTTCTCTTCGAACTTTTCACCCATTTTCTTGCCTAGGCCAAGCATCTTGGCTTTGGTGCTCCCCATCCGTTTCGGTTCTGCAACATGTTGTTGTAGCTCTTGATCTGCTGTTGCTTTCATTGCTCCAGATGGTGAGGAGTCGCCCTCCATCAGGTTTTCTGCTGAGCTTTTCCGCGGATAGCCCTCTTGTGGTGGTGGTGGTGGTGGTTCTTGCATAGGGTTACCGTTCATTGTTAACTGATCTTTAGGAGCAGACGATGAGGATGAGAATGAATCAATTGATGGTGGTGGTTCATGTTTGCCCTCCTCCTCTTGAGGATCACTGCTGTTGCAAACTTCCCTATTATTAACAGCGGCTTCATCTAACTCTTTAGTCTCCTCAGGCTCAGTGATGGGAACTACTTGATTATTGCTATTATTATTATTTTTATTAATCCATATGAATGGAGCGACTTTGCGTGGGACCCAGTCTTCTTTTTCAGCTAACATCCAAGGCAGACATACACTTTCACAGTTTGGAAGTACCAACGTTTCACGGATAGCTGCCTACATCATTGATGGAGGACACCAGAAGTAATATAACATAACTGCAATACAATATGCTTGATAAAAAAATTCTATATATGGACCAAAGATATTGTTACCTTAAACCGATTGATTAGGAATAAAGCAATATGTCCGCTTGTAATCCTATGATCTCCGACAAAAGACTCCAATTGAAAATCGAGGTCTGGCATAGATGTGAACCCGAACCATATTTGATCTGAAGGCGGGGACTTTATGAATAGACGGATTGTTCCTCGAAGAGATGCAACCCTTATCCCCAACAAAATTGGAACCTTCAACACAAAGATTAAAGTGTTGGCCGTCATCCAGCAAGCCACATTTACAAATCAGGTTAAACAGACAAATAAAAGCACAAACGTGTTCTGTTTACTAATTTGATCCGCTTTTTCGACATTTTAAAAGTTATTGGTGTCAACTGACAAGCCTATCTTTTTTATGTCATAAGGGGAGAAATACCAAACTAGGACTAAAACAAGTTCCATATACCATAATAGGACCTTCAATGTTTTATACCAAAATAGAACTTATAATGCCAAAACTGGCAAAACATAACCCTAAAAACCACTATGATATGCCAACACACAATGTCAAATTGCAAGCATTTCACAGTGTCAACACTTGTTTTGGGTATCAGGTAGATTTCTTTTACATAATTTAAATGATCAATAGTTAAAAGACGAGTTTGACAATTTATAAATGTGTGTATCAAAGTCTACTGAAATTTTGGGTTTATTAGAAGGATATCGATAATTTATAAGCAAGCCCCAAAAGTTAATAAGTTTGGGTTTGTTTCAGCCAGTAGTCTATAAAGACCAATGACATTTTGATTACTTCTAGACTTCTAATGATTCTTCAAAAGCAATACTTCTACTTGAATACAACAAACTTTTAAAGACTTAAAAAGTTCCCCGGGGTATAAAGGAATGCACTCGCAATAAGGTGAAGTCTCCCGCCTCCAGGTCCCCCACAACCTCAAGCCTAACAGATCGTAGAAGGGTAAACCAAGATTGTACTTTCACAAACCTGTGAGACCTGTTTGGCGATGGAATGTAAGATAGCTTTCCATCTAGAAACTTGAGGTGATGCCCTTGGAATATTTCCATTGTTTCTTATTTCATCTGAAAAATGAAAAAACTACGTGATTGATGCATATGAAGTCACTTACAAGTTAATGCAGAACTGCTATGCCGAACAAAGCAAAAATTATAATAGATTGGAATTTAAGCACCATTGCCCAAATAAATGCAATCTGAAATGGTCCTAAACCAAAATGAATACTTCCTCTGTCCCAGTGTTTTTGTCCAATTTCTTTTTGGCACCAGAACCAAGGACAGAATTTTGGGGGAGATATGTCCTAATTATCCCTACTTTTGGCCTTTTGGGTGTCTACTGTTGCACAATTAAGTAAAAAAGAGGGCCGTCCATCTGCGGAGAAGGTTTTAGAAGCAGGGGAATTCAACCATTCACCCATTCCTAGTTAATCTTCCATTCAACTTCATCGTGACAGAAATTTCACCCAAAGACTGGCCTTGGAGAACGGGAAGTATTATTAGCCAAACATATTTAATATATATTTGATATTTTAGTGTATATATATATATCTTTTATGAGTTGTCAAATATCATATTGTATTCATACTTAGCAAAATGTGATACATGGTGTGAATTGCAGATTCCCATGAAGGGATGAACTCAATGAATCTTATTAATGTAAAGGGCACACACACACACACCGAAATATATATAAAATATATCCAGCTAATAAGTATTAGCTTTAGATCTAGCAAACTTCAGCACATTGCATGTACATTAAAACATTACTTTAAAAAGTACGCAAAATAATAATTATTTGGGTTAGATATGTTTTTGGTCCCTGTAAAATAGACGGCTTTTATTTTTGGTCCCTCTAAAATATTTTTTGTTAAGTCATCCTTACAAAAAATTCTATTTTTAAAATGGTCCTTAAACATTATTTGTACTTCTAATTTGTTGAGATAGCACATTTGTATCATAATAAATGTCCTAGTCTTGCATTTCTACTACCTCCATTACAATTCTCATGTCCTAAATTGTATCCTTATTCATATTACATTTCCAATTCCAAAATATTTTAAGAATATAGTATAATAAAGTTTAGAAATTGGGGATGTAATTCGATGAATAAAGCGATATATGACATGAGAATTGTGTCTGAGATATATAGAAATGCAAGATTAAAATGTTAAGTACGAAATAATGTGTTATTTCAACAAATTAGAAATGTGAATTATGTTTAGGGACCATTTTCAACAAAAAAAAAGTTTGTAAGGATGACTTAACAAAAAAATACAGGAACTAAAAACAAAAGTCGCCTATTTAACAGGGACTAAAAACATATTTAACCCTAATAATAAAAATAACAATCATAACAACAACAGCAATAATAATAGCAATCATAATAAAAATAAAGGTAATGATATCTACCTCTGAAATCTTCATCTGTATGATTCAAGTGATCAGGTGTCTCCTCAGATTTCATGTGCTTCTGAAAGTGCTCAAAACCTTCTAGCAGATCTGATTTGATCTCATCCACATCACTTGCTTCTCTGCTAGTACCTTGCTTTTCCTCTAAATCTAGATCTTGAACTGCAATCCTTGTTTCAACCTCTAAAATAGCTCCACCAGAATACTCGACATCAATCTCCATTATACAAACCTCATTCATGTCTGACGGAAGAACCCTCATTCCATGAATATACGGAGGGAGATTACCAAGGTTAACCGCACTGCAAATCATTTCACCCATGTAACTGGGACTTCGCATGTTGGACAGCGCTCTCTATTAAAATAAAATTAAAAAACTCGTTAAGAATACTAGCGGTACACTGAACAAACAAGATCAGAACTTCAATTCCTAAGGGCCTGTTTGGTACACGGAATTGATGGAATTGGAATTGAATTGGAATTAAAATTCCATGGGATTCAATTCCATAGAATTGAATTCACCAATTCCAATTCATTTTTTGCACTACAATTCCAAATCCACATAATTTTTGTGCTACCAAACATGAGAATTGGAATTGAAGTCCTCAATTCCAATTCCATAGTTTGAATTACGTGTACCAAACGGGGCCTAAGAGAAATCTTCCTTCACGTGTGATATGGGTAGTAGCTATTGGTATACTTGTAAATGTAATACTTGTGCTTAGGTGTAAATGTGATGAGCTGTATCCAAAGGATATAATCCTATAAATACTGTGTAATAGACTCATTTGGGAAAAGAAGAAAAATATCTTTCTCTCAACTAACTCTCCTTCTCTCTCGTTCATTCTGTTACAAGACCTTTAGGTCTCCTTCTTCCTGAGACCTCCACGCCTTGTATCAACGTGATGTATTGAAACATGCCAAACTATAAATCTCTATTGTGTATAGTTTATTTTACTGTAACAGGTGAAAACATGACATTGTGTATGCCTCAGGTTTTAGAGCCAAAACCTGATAGATGTCATAATTTCTTGGACTGAACTCCTGTTCAGCCTTTTTTATTGTTGTTTATGATCAATGATAAGTTAGAGATTAATTCTGATGTTCGGAAAAAATCTCTACTCAAGATGATGAAATATTACCTATACTGATTTTGCAGACGGAACAATGGTTTTTTTTGGGGGGGGGGGGTCAAGTATACTTAGTTTTGCTTTGTTCTCCATTTAAGGAAACAATACTTTGAAAAATATACTATTGAGGATTCACTCTATTTTCATTTATAATGTAGGTTGTATTTGAACCGTTTCATATTCTCATTTACTTCAGTGTTTGCCCACTCAATTTTTCGGTGGCCTCGCCACCATATATTAAGTTTGACATTTTGATGTTCGACTAACAAAAAGGAATGCCTTTGTAAGTCATTTATTTTTTGCAACCAACCAACTAATTCTCTTTTTATAAGTTAAAGCTGAAGAAAGGTAGACAAATTTGTCCATTCTGAACATCTTTAATGTAAGGTGTCATAATGGGCTTAGAGTTCCTAAGCTCAATAATAACAATGAAAACAGCCAAACCATCTTGTGAAACTAACACAAAAAACTGATGGTTCTCTTTCAGATATCCAACAAGGGTTGTTTCCTTTTTTTTCTAAAAGCATGCAAACCCTACATTACAAATTTGTAAAACAATGTTGTCATTGCCAGAAAAGTCAAGGTTAGATGTAATGAGATGACCAAGTAAATCCATATTTTCATGGTCAAGCATCAATCAACTCATTTCACATACCTGAATCCAAGATTGCATAGAATATCTCATTCCCTCGTTTTCTTTAACATCGAAGAAAAGTCGTGACAACAACAAATTCCAGCAAAGAGTTCCTTCATCATGACAGACCTTATCATCAGAATCTGATTCAGAAATTACAGGCAGATGACTCTGGGTTGATGATCCAGTTGACATCGATAGTGATGAAGGGACCACGATTTCTTCATTCAAGGAATCAGCCGGCGTTAAGGCTGATGGTCCTTGACTAGAGCCTGAAACCCAGTATGCCTTGCTTTCCATACCAGCCTTGGAGGTTTTCTTGGCAAGTTTCTTAAGGAACAGTACAACCTTTGATGAAGAGCCATCGAATTTCATTGATTTATCAGTTAGTTCACTATTAACATGTCCCAATGGTTTCATGAATGAAGGGTAAACTGCATTAAGCGATGTCAGGTAATTTTGAAACTCCAAATTTAACTTGACAAACCACTTTAGTTTCTCTTTGTCTTCACATGAAGCAAGACATAGAGCCTTACACCAGGACTCCTTCTCCCAAGATGTCTCGAGATATATGTAAAATGTTCTGCTTCCTTTGTATATTGTTGATGTTGATTTGCTTTCTATTTGTATAGGGTACCTTTTTGCCCTGAACATTTACAGAATAAGAAATTACAGCCAAAACAGGACATAAATATTTGCATTGCTTGATAGGATACCACACAAGATTCAATAGAGATATTTTGATACATATAAACAAACTCCAAAATGGTTTTATCTTCAATGGGCTGCTAAATTATTGCTCATAAAGCTCATTAAAAAAATCTCTGAAGTATGCATAACGTGCAGGGACTGAAAAGTGAGATGCCCTTGAAACACAATGCCTTTTTAAACTATTTCTGTTTTTCTTTATTTTTGTCCCCAATAAATTTTCTAACCTGTCATTCTCTTATATAGCTAATGCGAAATCCAAATCTAAGATATCACCTATTCCAATTTCCAAAAAGGATAAGCCATATGCTAAATTGGTTTTCATCTATAAGTAATACACTAAGGGCCTGTTCTTTAGGACTTTTAACTTCCAGTTCTTTCCAGTTCCTTCCAGTTCTTTCCAGTTTCTTCCAGTTCCTTCCAGTTCCTTCCAGTTCTTCCAGTTCCTTCCAGTTCCTTCCAGTTTTTTCCAGTTCCTTCCAGTTCCTTCCAGTTTCTTCCAGTTTTTTCCAGTTTCTTCTAATTTCTTCCAACTATATTTATTTTCTTCAAATTCTTTCTACCTTTTGACAAATAACTCTAAAAAAATATATTATTATTATAATTATTATTATTATTACAATTTTTTTAATTACAACTTTTATGTTCATAACTATAGTTTATAAATTATTTAATTTTTTTATCTCACTATTTTTATGATTTACATTCATTATTTTTTTCTTCAACTTTTTAATATGAATAATACCAGTTCTATATTTTTATTCAAAAAATAGGGTTACAATGGAAATAAATTGTCAATCCTTAAATAAATATAAGTTTGATTACATTATGTATAAAATATAATTACAAATATATTATTTTATAATAAATATAGCATAGCCATAATAACTCTTAACTATTTAACATTTTGATATTTATGCTAATCTTATATTCTAATTAATTTTTTAATATATCTTTTTATGTATGAAAAATAATATTCATAATATTTTTTTATTTTAAAGACAATCATTTGGATAACGTGATAACACCACCACTACCACCACCACCACCAACAACAATAATAATAATTATAATAGTAATAGTAATAATAATTTATATCAACAAGAATCAGAATGAGAATAATTTAAAACCACACATAAAAAATTTTTAAAAACTTTTTTTAGATTTTACAATTTATTCTAGTTTTTTCAATTTGTTTTAATTTTTTTTAATTTTTTTCAGTTTTTCCAGTTTCTTCCAGTTCTTTCCAGTTTCTTCCAGTTCCTTCCAGTTTCTTCCAGTTCCTTCCAGTTTCTTCCAGTTTTTCCAGTTCCTTCCAGTTTTTTCCAGTTTCTTCCAGTTCCTTCCAGTTTTTTTCAATTTCTTCCAGTTTCCAGTTCTTTTTTTCCAGTCCTAAAGAACAGGCCCTAAATAGTCTCTTCACATGATTGTGGTAGCCAAAGGCTGTAATCTAGACTCCCAAGAATTGGATACCAGAGTAGCAAATAGCAACATTAATACTCCGTATATCAGAAGCATTTATGGAATTGTGGATACAAATAGTAAGCCCCAACTGTCAAGATTCAAGAACAATATCATGTCATGTGTTACCATAAGATGGTGTTAATTACATGTTACCATTTTCGTGAAGACAAGGCTGTCGCAGAAACCGCTGCTATTGCACAATGCCTAAGTTGAATTTCAGTATCAGAACCATCAGATTCTATTAACAAGAGAGAATGATCCTTTATTTTTGCGTAGTTCTGGACAGGTTCAACCTCCACGATCTCTTTCTTGCTTTTTTTCTGCCCTGAAGCTTTGTCTACCGGAGAAGCTCTTGAAATATTTTCTAAATCTAGAACCCACACTATTCCCTAAAGAGAAAATGGGAAATGTTAAGATATGACTAGTTTTCCAAGTAAAAAAAAAGTTATGTTTCAACATCACGCTTATGTTTTCTTCTTTTTAGCATGGGTTTGTGGCAGAAAGATATTTAGTATAGCTGATATCACAGTAAATATCTTAGTAGTCAGGTAATGACTTGAGTTATGCTTAAGAAATGGCATTGACTATCATTCATTGAATTGGTTTTGGATGAGGAGTAAATGATGTTTGGGTCACTCTACCTAGAATGTAGCAATAGTACAAATGCTGTATATGTTAAAAAGTTGAATGAAATTTAATGCACTCAAAAGTTAAAACGGAGAAGAACGCCCAAAGAATGATAGTGTGATACTGAAGACAATTCTTTCTTCAGCATAGGATATAATCCAATATGTAAAACCACTGCATGAAAATCAAGTCAAATTCCATTCAGGGTGTGTTTGGATACCAAATGTAATTACTAGGTACAAAGTAGGTAGAAAGTCAAATTCCAAAAAGTTGTGCAAGGAGACACAAATACAACAATTTCGACCAACCGAATTGGGATTGGAAAGTGTGATTGAAGAACCCCTCAATTCAACTAATCAGGTTCTTACTCTGTAATTACTTGATCAACCAAACAGGAAAACTAAGGTAATTACAGGAAACCGCCCCAATTACATTTCAGATATGAGGTAGATGTAATGAAGAGCAAAAAATAAAAGTGCAATTCAATGGAGGTAAGAAGTAAAGCCAACGAAAGTAAACTACCTGCTTGTTGTAAAAGGAGGGATCGAGGTTGGCCGGATAAGACAGTTCATCGGAGAACTTAGCGGCACCAATTTGACGGCGGATTTTCCGAGTCAACCACCGCAGGAGATATAACGCCGCCGCTGCTTCAACTCCGACGACCGTCAGCGCCCCGAGAATGAACACAAGCACGAATTGCCACATTGTTTCTACTCCCAACCAACCATTATGAGCGTGGATTCCACTATCTTGCTCATGATCCCAAGGCTTCCTCTGCAATCTTTGACACAAGGCACAAAGAGTGGAATAGATAGAAAAATCCGCCAACATCTCTTACTATGGCTAAAAGCCTCACACTTTCCAAAATGACATTGGTTGTTTTTCTTTCCAAAATAATTTTGTTTTTTATGATAAAATTTAGAGTAATTCTATAAAAAGTCTACAGTTATAGATCGTTTTATATATTTAGTCCATACATATCAAATATCAATAATTTAATCTCCCATTATTATATTGTTTTCCACAAATAGTCCTCTCTTAACATTTCCATTCAGAACATGGATAAAATTGTATATTCACACACATCTCTCTCTTCAATTAAGCTTCCTTCCCCCTATCGTACCCAATCTCAAACTTGTCGCTGAGTTTGAAACTCTACACCCAAAACTGAAACGATCACTCTTCTCTCAATTGTTCATCTTCTTGGTGGATATCAGAATTGAAACCAATAACCTTCATGGATGAATTTACGAGTTAGTTTCAAGAAATTGCAAAGAAAACAAACCTTAAAACTAATCCATGAAGGTTACTGGTTTCGATTTTGGATTCCAGCAGGAAGACGAACAATTGAGAGATGAAGGATGATTTCGGTTTTGGATTCGAAGCTTTAAACTCAGCGACGAGTTTCAGAAAGGTGTACGAGAGGAGAGAGGGAGCTTAATTGAGGAGAGAAAGGAGCGTAAATTTACAATTTTTTTCACATTTTTAACGGAAATGTTAACAAAGGACCATTCGTGAAAAATAACATCATAATTGGAGAATAAATTATTGATATATGATATGTGGAAACTAAATTTGTAAAACAAACAATAACTTAGGATCTTTTATGAAATTTTACTCAAAAATTTACATAATATGTAATTTATTACTCTGTATGATTAACTTTTTACACGGTTAGGGAGAGGGTAAAATAAGTGCTAAAATACAATAAAGGATAAAAAAATATTTACCAAAGTAGGGGTGGGCATGGTACGGTATTTAACTCGTACCGATACCGTACCAAATATTTCGGTTCGGTATGGGACTTTACTCCGTACCGATCCCGATCCCGAAATATCGGTTCGGTATGGTTCGGGATGGTTCGGTATCGGTTTCAGTACAAATCGGGATAAATATATATATCTAATTTCCACGTTAAAATTTAACAATACCCCTTTATTTTTGAAAATTAAAAGTAAATTTAAATAAACAATATGAAAAATTAAAAAAAAGAAATTTAAATGCAAGAGATGCGTATCAAAACTTAGTTTATATTTCACAAACTAAAAAATGAATGACAACAAAGGAGTATTTCGAATCTTTGTGAATACTTTTATATTCATACATAAAAAATAAAACTCAAATAAAAGTATAATTTGCACATAATAGAACTTGAACCAAATTTTTTTAAAAAAGTCATTATTTAGTGAAGGAATATAAAAATATTACTCCGGGGTATTATTTTTTATAATATTTTAGTATATTTGTTCGGTACGAGATTTTTGGTATGGGAGGTCACCTCGTACCGTTCACGAATACCGTACCGACCATTCGGTTCGGTATGGTTCAGTTTCTTCTCGGTACTTTTTCGGTTCGGTATTCTCGGTTTTTTTGGAAAATTTTGGTATCGGTTCGGTACTTGCTCACCCCTATACCAAAGTATATCACTAGTACAAAAACGACTTTTTAAATCGGTTATTTGGACCCTTTTAAATCGGTTTCCAACCGATGCAAAAGCCAGCGATGCAAATACTCCGATACTTTTTGCATCGGTTGCTAAAACCGATGCAAAAACCCTTTACAAAAATTACCGCCAGTTCTGAAAGTTGGCTTTTTGCATCAGTTATTACTAAAAAACCGATTCAAATGCCCCTACCCAGAAATGGCGCCATATTTGGGTAGGGGCTTTTGAATCGGTTATTTGTAATAACCGATTCAAAAGATTATCATTTGAATCGGTTATTACAAATAACTGATTCAAATGCTCCTACCCAAATATGGCGCCATTACTGGATTGGGGCATTTGAATCGGTTTTTTTGTAAAACCGATGCAAAAGATTAGCTTTTGAATCTGTTTTTAAAAATAACCGATTCAAAAAGGCTTTAAATTTTCAAGATTAATTTTGTTTGTTAACGATATAATCGAATACAACAATGCAGAAAATTCAGCCCATCAACACAGAAGTAACTAATACAAATGTTTTCACAAAAATCAAATCAAATGTCACAAAATGAATTAAACCACTTGAATATCTTAAACGATATAAGAGTAAAACTACTACGTACTCTTCAAAGTTTTAACAATACAACTAAATCCTAAAACTACATTGTACTTTACTAACTTACACAAGTTCATCGAGAAAACCCCCGGCCCAAAACTCTCTAATTTCCTCTAACTCGGCTCTAGTATAAGGCAAAGTAGACTGAAACACCTGCAAAATCAAACAACATACGACATAAAGTTCAATAATTATTACCCTACACTTCACTACTTTCGTAAACACTAAAACAAACTTACCTCGAATAATGGTACTGAACATTT